GAGAGAGGCCCAGCTCGAGATGAGGCAGCAGGCGACGCTGGCGGACAGCTGGAGGCTGATGTCCTCTAAACGAGTTAAACACCCAGCCAGAGATGGCAAGATAACCTCGCGACTGAAGTCAAGAACTGAACCACTTTCTCAGTATTGTAGGAGATGTAAAGAGGCGGTGCTCTTTCAAGGCTGAATATCTCTCTCTCTCTCTCTCTCTCTCTCTCTCTCTCTCTCTCTCTCTCTCTCTCTCTCTCTCTCTCTCTCTCTCTCTCTCTCTCTCTCTCGAGGTAGAGGAAGAGCAGCTGTCATAGAGGCCAAGTGATCACGTCCTGCTAAGATTTCAATTCACAATTAAGGTGACAGCCAAGAGGGGAGCGTGGACAAGATCATGATCCCAAGTGACAGCAAAACAAAGTAATGCACATGTGAGAAAATACTGAAGCCATGGCATCGAACCAGCGTCCCTAGAGTCCCCAGGATCCAACTCCCAAAACACAATACAGAGAGAGAGCACAGGCCGCTGCAGGATACCACAGCGGTGAATAAAACAAAAATGCTTAGAGATACAATGGAATTACATTTTAGCGTCGTGGTGGACGCAGAAGCCGCTAACTGGACAACACAATGAGAAGCATCTGACTGGCTGGGAAAAAGAGATGGAACAATTGGTGTTTTCATCCCAGGTGAAGGGCCATCACCCACCTCCACCAGCCCCACCTGCCGGCGCCGTCTGCCGCGCCTCCAGCAACTACCCGCCAAATGATCCGGAAAACAAAACAGCCAACTAAAAGAAGCCATCTGTGTGGGGATATAACTGTGTCCCGAGGCACGGGGAGGCCTGAAAGGTTGCCTGTGGTCAATACCACGGGGATGTATGGGGGTCACTAACCCCGGGGCAGACCACAGGGTGGACAGAAACACAGGTAATGAGTGCCAGAAACGCGGGTAATGACATAATCCACTAATTATCCTAATAAATAGTTGACAGTAAACCTGTTTAGTGAAGACCTATACCTTCCAGGTGACGGGAGTGACGGGTCTGTAGAGACAGGCGAGGCTACCTTCCTCCGGAGTAGGACAGGCGTGACACTGCCCTCCCTCACGGTGTCCTGGGAGTGCCGACGGCTCAAGAGGGGCGAGGAGTGCCAGGCACTGCGGGTCTTCTCCTTAAATCTCCTGAGACTACTGGGGGTGGAGGGCGCCTCGCCCACTCCCACGCCCACCGCCCGCCGCTGCAGCACGGGCGTCTGGATGCCCACTGACCGGGTCTTGGGCGCGGGTGACGGGGGCGGCGTGCCCGTCAGGGTGTCCTGGGACGAGGTGGAGGATCGTTCCGTCTTGCGACGGCGCGGGAAGGGGGACAGAGCCAGCTGTAGAAACGACGCCATTACTGCTGCGCCCTCACTTTGTGTGTGGGGGTAGTGTCGTCACTAGCCATGGCACTGTGAGGGTGCCGTCTGGCACTGTAGGGGTACCTTCTGGCACTGGCCATGGCACTGTGGGGGTTCAGTCATCGCTGACCATGGTACCTGAAGCACACTGCACTAAGGAGCAACACCTCGTCTACAGCTCTGGAAGAAAGAAATGGAACGTTATTATTTATCTAAAAAAAACGTATGAAAACGCTTCAACATTATATATATATATATATATATATATATATATATATACTTCAGTGCTGCACTACCAGGTGGCGCTGCCACTCACAGGGAAGCAGCCAAATCCTGTAAGTACAGATAACTGGATCACCACTACAATATTGTCCCCATTGCTTCTGAGACACTCGGCGCTTGGGGTAAGAGTGCCACCAGTTTTTTTTTCAAGGAATTGGGTTCTAGGCTAATTGAAACAACAAGAGACCCTAGAGCTGCCAGCTTCCTTTTCCAGCGCCTCAGCGTGGCGATACAGAGGGGAAATGCACACTGCATTCAGGGTTCCTGCCGGCCATCTGAGGAGCTGGAGGAACTCGACAAATTATGATTTATATATATATATATATATATATATATATATATTCATATATATATATATATATATATATATATATATATATATATATATATATATATATATTATATATATATATATATATACTAATTATATATACTCAAATGCTGTTACAGTGTACTTAATTAATACTTTGTACACACAGTAATCGTACTAACTTCACTGCATCAGTGACAAAACCCGTCGGAGCCGTGATAAGGATTCGAACCTATGTGCTGGTGGGTGTAGCCACGCACACACACACTCTCTACTCCACCAGAGTGTGTGTCTGCGGAACACCCAGCACATAGGTTCGAGCCCACATCACGGCTCCGAGCGATTTTCTCATTACTTTGAATGTTTGGGTTAATTAAGGATCTCCGGGAACCGTTGTGCATAATGCAGGAAGGATTTAAACCTTGCAAGAATGTTGCATTCAATCCCCTAATGTTATGATAGACTTTCTCAATCCATTGTAGCTAAACAGATGCAACAGGGCGAGGCAACAGTAATGGAAACAACATAGCAACCGACGGTAAGAGTGGCGCTGAACAAGGCAACAACGGGAGGAGCAAGAGCAAGCAACAGTAGTGGAAGGAACGGGTGAGTGCGTGCACCCGGGGAGTTAGGATACTGTTACACTGACTCCACCACCACCACTACAAGCAGCACCACCACCACTACCACCACCACTACCACCACCACTACCACCACCACCACCACTACCACCACCACTACCAGCACCACAACCACCACCACCACCACTACCACCACCACTACCACCACCACTACCACCACCACTACCAGCACCACAACCACCACCACTATCAGCACCACCACCACCACCACTACAAGCAGCACCACCACCACCACCACCACCACTACCACCACCACTACCACCACCACCACCACTACCACCACCACCACCACTACCACCACCACCACCACTACCACCACCACCACCACTACCACCACCACTACCAGCACCACCACCACCACCACTATCAGCACCACCACCACCACCACTACAAGCAGCACCACCACCACCACCACCACCACCACCACTACCAGCACCACCACCACCACCACTACCACCACCACCAGTACCACCACCACCACTACCACCACCACTACAAGCAGCACCACTACCACCACCACTACCAGCACCACCACCACCACCACTACCAGCACCACCACCACCACCACTACCACCACCACTACAAGCAGCACCACTACCACCACCACTACCAGCACCACCACCACCACCACTACCAGCACCACCACCACCACCACTACCACCACCACTACAAGCAGCACCACTACCACCACCACTACCACCACCACCACTACCACCACTACCAGCACCACCACCACTACCACCACTACCACCACTACCACCACCACTGTAACACTGTAAAAGTGTTTGGTTTAGGTTAATACATACATAGAGTACATGAGTCACAGACAAGGATCTGAGAGGCGCCAGTTGTCTGCCTGAGATCTCACACCTCTAACCGTTAATGACCCCAAGTGACCTGAGGTCAGATCATGATAATTTCACCTTGCTTCCGCTAAGCGTATAATTGGAGCCGGGTAGCCTTCAAACATGCCGACGTTTAAGGAGTGGCTTGGTAGTGCCGGAGGCTATCTACTTGTGGGCGGAGTTAGCTACTAGGTTCCCCAATATAAACTCGGAGAGCTATCCAGCATAAAGCATTAACAGACAGAACGGCAGTCAGGATTGCAGAGGAGACGGCCTAGCAGGGAGGCTGTCGGCCGGCAGGGCGGGAGTCTCTGTCAACTACAGACCCCCCCCCCCTCTCTATCCAGCTATAGGCAGAGACACTTGGTGAGTTGAGCAGTAAGGTGACTTGGTCGTGTTTTACAAGTGTTGTGTGATGATCAGGGGCAGTCAAGTTGTAGGGTTCTCAGATTCTTGGAGGATGACTCACTTTAAATATTAAACTGGAACATTTTAATTGAATTGCTAAATTATGATACTTCATGGGAAATATAATTATGAATTTATTATTTAAATTGTGTTTAACTTTGTTCCCTCGAGATTTTGAGTTGAGGTGAGAAAGCCTCTGTGGTTACTGGTTTCATGATATTAACGAGTACATGTTTGGAGTTGATACATGGTACAGAGGGAACATACTAATAATGAACTCATGATAACATCCTTGGAGAATTTTGTGATACAGGCAAGTTCCATTCCTTGTCTTGTATGTAATGATCATGAATAGATGGTGGCAGCATTTCGTCTTCTACTATCTACTCTTCTACGTCTACTTTCTACTCTTCTACTTCTACCTATCTACACCTCTCCCTCCACCCCCTCTCTAAACTCTCACTTTCAGCTAATGACCCTCCTCGCTCCTCCCACCTCTCTACCTCTCACCCCAAACCCTCACTAATTACTTCACTATTCATTTCTTTCCTTTCGTTTTCTCGTATACGTTTGTGGCAATGATTTAGTATTCTAGAGTTCTCTCTAGAGTTTCGGGTAGCTGATCCAGTTACGGCGCCTTGTGGTCTTAGCACCTAGGTAGTCAAATACCTAGGTTACAAGGTGTTGAACGAGAGAGGTTGCCTTAGGAACTCTGGGAGTGCTCTAGAATAGTTAGCTAACTGGGGACGGGATAACGGACTAGAGAGAGCTGTTTCCCCCGGCCTCGTTAGTTAACTGGGGGGTGGAATAATGGATAAGATAGAGCCATTTCCCCCACCCCCCGTTACAATGGTGGCAGCGGTGTTGAACAATGTTGTAGGTAGTTGGTGTTCTTTTAACATTGTTCAGTCCCACGTGTCTTTTTGCCGCTCAGGCGCTATCAGGGAGATCTTGACAGGTGTTTTACTTTCGCGAGTTAGCGAGTTTTTCAGGTTAGGAGATAGTGATTTTCTGACGATGTATTTTAGTGAGTTTGTGAGTTTTGTGGTGTTCAGGGAATGTTCACCAGAACTTGCGTGTGTAGTGATTAATGTTAGTGATAAGATTTGGCGATTTGGGAACTTAGCGGTGTTGGTAGTGCAGGTCAGCTGAGTGTGACAGGTGACCTCGCATGTCCCACGGGGACACCCAGCCACCGCTGGTCTCCAGGTCAGTGGGGAGTGGCAGGTGTAGTTTTTAAGTAGTGGTTCTGCTCAGATTATTGCGATCGACTGTTTTACTCCATTTGAACGCAATAACCCGAGGTGTACTGGTATTGTACAGCATGCTAGGGGGAGGCTTAGTATGTCAGTAGACTTCACGTTGGGGACGCTCGACGTTAGATAGTCTGGTCACAGGGGTGGCAACAGTTTGGAGTTGTTTACCGCGGAGATGCTAGGGAAACACTCTGGGTCCCGTAGGTGGCTGTAGGTTAAGGGTGGGAGTAACGGTTAATTATGTACTTAAGATTAGGAAAGGTATAGTTAAGTTAGGCTAGTGTTTTGTCTATTAGTTTTGATATTTATTGTGGAGATTCGTTGTGTGACAAGTTAAAAGTAGTGATGACCTTATGCTCTCTTCTCTAACTTTTCCTCTGTTACTGTTTTATGTTCCACCAAGTCAATATCATTCAGAGTTAATTGGATTATTTTAAAAATTTAAGTGTAGTTGTTGCCAGGAGGAGAGCGGTATGACTGGACTGTGTAACCCTATACAAACTACAGGGTCACATAACATATCTTGGGAGCACGATATTGTCGCTTTTCTGTTCACCCACAGGTGGGAGCCAGAAGAGAGGAGAGACGCACATACAAAAGAGGGAGACGGCTGCTGTGTACGACACTCACGGGCGTTAATCACCACCACCACGACCAGCCCACTACCTGGAGGTCACGGCTCCACCACCATCACCACCCCAGGGGACCCCAAGATGCAGCCCTCTCGGTCAGTCAACATTGGTCTACCCAGTGGACCCCAGGTCGTTCTGCAGACGACCCCAGACGACCCAGTAATGATGGAAGAGGAGCAACAACGACTCCAGTCTGTCCCACCAACATCGGTCTACCCAGGATGGACCCCAGGACGGACAGACCCCAATGGACCCCAGGTCGCTTGTCTAAGACCCATGGGAGGAGGAAGAGAGAAGAAAGAAGAGAGAAGAAAGAAGAAAGAAGAAAGAAGAGAGAAGAAAGAAGAGAGAAGAAAGAAGAGAAGATAAGACAAGCTGAGTGAGACATGATACCTAGTGTCCCTTGCTGGTGTCAGCATCATTGCATGGAGCGTAATTGCAAGACAGGATCGTTTGCCTTGACTGGCCGCCCCTCCTACAAGCATGTTGCTCTGTTGAGTGATTCTTCCTGTGTCAGGCGGACTTGATGTGGCTGTCAGAAGTAGCTCTCTGAAGGAGGCGTGCTGGAGCAACAGGGAGGAAGAAGAGTAGGATGGGATTTCTACTGTTGGCAACGATATGAAGGTCTCGAAACTTGTAGTCCCTATAGCTGTGAAGAACCCCAATATACGTCTCTCATGGTGACTGACGTAGGGCCAATTACAGATCAGCTGGGACAACCGAATTCCACGGTCCTGTGCGCAGTTCAAGTAGTAACGGCTTTCGGGTTGACCAAGTGTTGTTGTGCGTTAACGACGGAGAAGCGA